AATGAATAATGTACACCTTAGCAAATGGAGTAAAAAAGCTTAGGATACATACTTTATAGTTTGATCATCTAATGTATCTATTATATTTTTGAAAGTATCTTGTAGCCACTGCAGTTGAACAGTGGGTCCACAACCTTATTAGTCTTTGTTTCTACCTCAGATAAAGAAACTCCAAGTAACTTAACCAATAATGTGTTCACCTCATTGATTGTCAAATAATCAACTGAAACCATGGTCCTGGTGATCGATATGTGTAGAATCACGAATACATTATCCAACATGATAGTCATCTTTTCAAATGGTAGATAAAATGTATTGGTCTCAAGCTGTCACCTTTCAACAAAAGCCAAAACTATCTATTATTTATCAAATGATAGGTGTAGTTAATAAGTGAATCCAACCTCGACTACATTGGCTCGGATACGTCTACGTGCATTGTCTAGATACTATTGCTATAATTTAGGTCCATGATTAATCGATTTCAACGGATCTCGCTTTTGTAATACTAACAACAACAACATTAACAATATCAATAACACAAACAATAACATAAACAATACCAACAATTACAACAATCAATTAATTCACTTTAAAAACATAAACTAATACTATCATATTTTATGATTCAAGTGATTGTCTAGCCATTTTATATCTACAATGCAACATGAGATCTAAAACTCCTAAAGACAGATGTATCAATCGGATCTTTTGGAAAAGTTTGAGAAACCTACTTTACATTATCATCTCCATCCTATCATGATGCTCATGGGTGGTGGGTTCCTCATCATGAGTGGAAAGCTTAGCCTATGGAATATCATCTCTTGCATAATCCTCAACTGGCTCATTATCTTCTAAGACTTAGCATCACCTCTCAAAGATAGTTGGATAGCATCACCTCTCAAAGATAGTTGGATGCCTTCGACTTGAACTAGGATTAGCTGCGGTATGTCCATCACTTCTGTCAGCCTTGACCTCTCGTACAAATGCTCTTCCTCGAGTTTGAGCCATATCTATTGTGACATAATACAAAAAGTAACAATTCATTAAACTAACATATGCTATGAATTTCAATTTTAAGCTTATAAAAATAGATTTTTGCAAGCTCTAAAAGGCTTTTTTGGATATTTATTTCTGTAAGCCTTTTAAAGATTACAAAAATCTTACAGATTTAAATATCTAAAAGCTTTTCAAAACTTATACAAAAGTATTTTTTTTAACTTTTAATTGTTAACTTTTTTTTTTGTTTTTGTTTTTATTTTTTGAAAATTTTATAATATTTTTTATATTTTATATTTATTATATTTGAAAAAATTTTTAAAAATTTCAATTTTTTTGATTTAATTTTTTTTTTCTCTTCATAATGATATGGCCATGAACCCACTAAATATATAATGATAATTAAGTGACAACTAATATTTTATCATTGGTCAAAAAGTCACATCATAATAAAGTTAACCCTTAAAATAAAATGCTTAAATAATTAAAAATTTTTTCATCATCATTATTATTATCATTGTATTGTTTTTGAAGGTATAATTGACATAAAAAATTATATACCATTTCCAATTGAAATACTTAAACCCTAATTTTATATTTTTCATTTTAGGGTAGAAGCAAATTTAAAATGGTCCTTAAGATTTAAAATATGACACTTAACTATTTTATGATTTATTTTATTACTTATTTGCCCAAAACCTTAACTTTTTTCGTTATTTTCAAACATTTTTTTTAATTTTTTCCTTCATCTTCTCTAACAATTCATTCTTTTTTCTCTAACTTTCTCTCTCTAACATTCAAATTTTTCACTTTTCTCTAATTTTCCTGCTAAAACCCAGAAAACTTAAGAACCAAGAACATCAACCACCATGTTCTTCAAAATTCTCAGAATCCGATGATGCTCTAAAAGATTCTACGTTTTTGGTTTTGAATCTAGCTTTGGTGTGTAAAAAGAGCATTAAAAGAAAAAAAAATGTATTAAACCTTTTACCTTATTTTTTTGCATCATTACTATATAATCCAATCACAAATTTCTTTTATGGAAATTCTTTTCTTTAATTATTTCCCTCTATTAAATCAAATAAAAAATATAAAACAAAAATAAAAAATTATAGTGAATAATAGAAAAGGAAAAAGAGTCTCACCATATATAACAAGAAATTCATGGAATGTAGCTTCTTAGCTTCACTAGTTAACAAGATCCTTTGAACCACAGATTTCAAAGCATTACCAACAATAGAACCAATGCAAACTCAAAATCCAAATAGGTTAAACAAAGGTTCACTATTACTAGCTAAAATAATCTCAAAATCCATAGCCAAAATTGCAAAATAAACCTCAACAGATTTCTTTTTGCAAGTGATTAAAAAAAAATGGCTGTGAAAAAAGGGGTCATTAAAAGTTATGAGAAAGATGGGATCCAATGCTATAGATTCTACTTTTAACATCATCAGTTGGGGTTATCGAAATATCTAAAACCTAGTGGTTGATAGTGGTGATTAAGTCCAGTCTTAGTTTAATTATCCTCTTTGTCCATGTTTGCCTTTCCACCATTTGGGTCTTTTGAGATTGTCATAATGTATAGATTCATAGACCTACTGCTAGACATGAATTAGAAGAGTCGTCACCAATCTTTTTTGATTAGGTATGATTGACCACCTAATTGAATATGATCTGTAAGATAGATATTAGGTTTGAGAGTCGGTTACGCTTGAAGAAAGTTGTAACACCCCCACAGTACTCATCCAAAGAATGGTACCAATTTGATTTTAAATTATCCAAATCTTGATCATTTTGATGATTTACCAAATAATTTAATATTAAAAATTAACCATAAAATTATTTTAATAGTTTGATAGCAATTTAAGATAATTCTCTCATCTTATGAGTATTTATGAAAATTAATGTCTTACTCTGAAAAAGTTTTATTGTCGAATTTATTATTTTTTATTCTATAAAAAAGATAATAAATCTCTCAATTTTTCATATTATTTTGAAAACATTATTTACAAATTTTTTTTTCGGTAAAATCAATAAAATAAAATAAATAAAGAAGATGAAATAAAAAACTTAAAACACAAAATGATAAAATAAAGATAAAAATAAAAATAAAAAAAACCTGCGATCTGTCAAGCTTGAGACGCGGATTTTCACACAGATCATTGAATTCAAGTAAAAACTTCAAGCTTCAAATGCAAAATTCCTCATGCTCTTAAAGAAACGGGTCGAGCCACTTGCGGCACTTGATTTTTCTTTCCTTTTAATCCTAAACGACGGCGTTTTGGTGGGAGAGAAAACTCTAAAGCCAACACTTGGCAGCCTTCTTCTTGTTTTTCCATACCTCTGTCAAACTTTTCTTATTTCAAATTCTCTCAGCCTTCTTTAAAATTCACCCAAGAATAGATTACCAGCAACTCATATTTCGGTTGATGCTTGCCAACTACTACACTGTCGGTCACTAGCCTAATCCCTCTTTCTCCAAAATTTCTTCAACCCAGAACTTGACTTCAACTATAACTCAAAACCCAACGGAAGTCCACTGTAGTGCAGTAAAGTAGTACTAAAGCAACCTTTAATCGATTTATCTCCAATTTTAATCCTTTTCTCGACTAAATTTCAAAAGGAAAGCCCAAACATATTCAAAGCCTAAATCCTTTGCTGGCCATGATTTTGTTGCAATTCTTCTAATATACATACTTGTCTTCTAATTCTTGATTTGATGGATGATTTATTGGATTTCGGGCATGGATTCCTTGGATGTGTTGGTGTTTGATTTTCTGTGGGTTGTTCCTTTGCAATTTGCTTTTTTTTTTTGTTTTCTTGTTTCATGCTTGGCGATTGCTTCTAGGTTTGTAGATGGGTTCTCCACTGGATTGACTTGTTTCTGAAAATTGTGGGGCTGGCCTTCTGCTTGTTTTCTCTGCATGAATTATGCCCAACAAATCCAGAATTGAATCACCAAGAATCATGCTCCAACGGATCCAAGATTGATCACCAATTTCCTTTTTTTATTTTAAACCTTTTTTATTTTTTTAAAATAATAATAATAATAATAATAATAATAATAATAATTATAATAATACTAATAAATTATGTATAATATAATAATAATAATAATAATAATATAGTATTATATATATTAAAATAAAAAATATACAATATATTAAAATAAAAAATACGATCTAATTGACCCGATCTGATCGACCCGAATACAAACAGGTGTATATAGAGATAATAGAAAAAATAATAACTTTAAGCTCAAAGACTCAAACTTTTTTTTGTCCTTTGGGTTTTCTTCTCTCTCCAAAAAGTAGGAAATGAGGAACAGAGAGGGAAAGAAAAGAATTTTTTTTTTCTTGCATTTTTGTATGGCTAGTTAGATACGAAGGAATAAAGTGAGGATGATATGTTCAGTGAGGTGATCTAATCAGAGGGTGATCTAATCAGAGGGTGAAGACTTAGATTTGAGAAAATGGATAAATGGGATTAATGGAGCATCACCGGATTCTAAGAATGGTTCTTAAGTTTTCAGGTTTTATAACAAGAAAATTAAAAAGAAGTGAGAGAGTATGAATCTTAGAGAGAGATGTTAAAGAAAAAAAGGTGAATTGTTGAAGTACTGGAAAAAGTTACGCTTTTGAGCGAAGAAATAATAAAATAAATTATAGGATATTTAAGTACCATATTTTAAATCTTAAGAATAATTTTGAATTTACCTCACAAGATGATTTTATATAATTTACTTTTTTTTTTATAATTTATTCTTATTTTAATTTTTTAATGTTCATTCTTTTTAAAAAATAAAAAGTGACTAGATAATGATAACTTAATTTAACGATTCATTGAAACATATAATCTTTAAATTTAATATAAACAAATTTGTTTATACATAAAAAATCATAATCTAAGAATAAAAGATATGATTTTAGATGTTAAAATTTAAATTTCAAAGTTTTTAAATACCACTTGTTAACAACAATGTGAATTGGTATCCTTGGGTCAGATTATTGTCTTTGTAAAATATATATCATAGGCGCAACACGCGTCCGAACGTTAATTGCGCTAACCCTTTTCAAACTAACGCACAAATTTATATGCCAAAAACTCAACATAATCTCAGCTTGTCAGCTGTCATCACTCTCACTCTTTATTTTCTCATTTTCTTCATTGCTGTCTGCACGTTCCATTTACATTAAAAAAAAAAAAAAAAACACAGAAGAAAAACAGAGTGGTGGGAATATGGCAGGAGGAGGAACAACCTTAGAATACACCCCAACATGGGTGGTGGCTGTTGTCTGCACTGTCATCGTTTTCATTTCTCTTGCTGCTGAAAGAATCCTTCATTTCTTTGGCAAGGCATGTTTCAATTCTTTCATATATATATATATATATATCGACCCTTTTCTTACATTTATTTATGTGTTTCAGTCAATTTTTTTATTTGTTTATTGTTTCTGCTTTATGTGTCTTTTTTCTTTTTTCCTTTTGATGAAGTGTTTCCATGACCATTTGGTTTTCAGTATTTGAAGAAAAAGAATCAGAAACCTCTCTTCGAGGCGTTGCAGAAGATCAAAGAAGGTCTAGACTCTAAAATAAATTCGGATTTTATGTTCTGTTAATCTGTAAAGGTATGCGGATACGCATAATATTTTTGTGGTGTGGATGCAGAGTTGATGCTGCTGGGATTCATATCACTGCTGCTGACAGTGTTCCAAGACAGGATTGCCAAAATCTGTGTATCAAAGGATTTGGCTAATCAGTGGTTGCCTTGTGAGGAAAAGAAAGAACTAACCACGGCACACTTTCAGACCCTTTTCTCATCCTTTCTACCTAATGGTTCTGGCCGTCGTCTTCTTGCTGAGGCCTCTGATCCTGCTGCCTACTGTACTTCTAAGGTAATCTTTTAGTGTTTTTCAGTTAATGATCAGATCTCCTCATTGATACATAAATTACCAGTTTATCACTTTGTTCATCAAAATCATGTAAAGATGATCTTTATAGACCAAAAATGCAAAGAAGTAAAGAACTTGAAATCATGTTTTATAGACTATATTCACTGTAAATCAGGACAATCTTGTCACTGTTTTTCCCACCATTTATTCTGTATTCTCCCATTAGGAATGGAAAGCTGATGGTTTTCTCCAATAACATTATGTTTGATTTCAATCCAGGGAAAAGTTCCATTGTTATCCACCACGGCATTGCATCATCTTCATATATTCATCTTCGTCCTAGCTGTTGTACATGTAACTTTCTGTGCTCTAACCATTCTTTTTGGAAGCACAAAGGTAAACTTCCCTTCAGTCACTCTAATTCGTCTGATTCTAATATCATGTATAATGTTAATGCTTCCAATTCCCTTTTCATGTTTTTTCTGTCTGAATTTTTTTGGGCCAAATTTCTGCCTTATGTTTGTTACATGTCTTCTATGATCTAGATCCATCAATGGAAAAGTTGGGAGGATTGTGCTAAGGATGTGGAATATGATCCGGAGGGAGGTATTGATTGCTAACACCTAAATTTTTCATGTTTTAATGGCTAATGATATATTTTTCAGACTATTTTTACCAGTCTAGTGCGTTGAATCATTGGCCTTTTCACTAAAATATGCCAATCCTATCAACAAGCAACACTAATCTGCTTCAAACTTTGACTTTTATAGCTAACTTTCTATCAACTAAATTGCATTTTCTGATGCAAGTGTTACTTTGCAGTTGTGAAAACAAAGATCACCCAAGTCCAAGAACATGATTTTATCAGGAACCGCTTCCTTGGTATTGGAAAGAATTCAGAGTTACAAGGATGGGTGGTAAGTCAAGATCTTCTTGTTATGATCATCTAACTTGGAGGTATTCAGCTTCATCAAAGGTCATGTTTATTTTGCACTATAAAAAGTCAAATCCTAAACATTCAAAGCCGGACTACGAGACAGTGAAAAGCAGGTTGCAGCATAAACAGAAGCCAAATGTTTCCAACTTAAAGTTACTGAGTTCTTACTATAAAAGAATATTTTATTAATTGGAAATGCTGAAGATCTTACCTTTTGAGTCATGATACTGATTTTATGCTTATCTGTGAGGAAATTGGATAAATTCCTGACTAAATGGGAAGCTATTAACTTCATCTTAAATACTAATTGTGTCATTACAAGACAACTAATACACCATTTTCTTCTCTATTTATATGGTAATCCAGTAACATAGTTTTTATGGGTTTGATTTGCTGTCAGTATTCTTTTTTCAAGCAATTCTATGGATCTGTGACCAAATCGGATTATATTACACTAAGACTAGGCTTCATCATGGTAAGTTAATTGCATTAATCTATTTCATTCCATTTTTAATTCATTTCTTGTTAAGAACTTGAATGCCTATAATTTACTTCATCAACTCTTTTCCATTAATTTCTGAAAATTTCTTCTCTAGACTCATTGCAGGGGAAATCCAAAGTTTAATTTTCACAATTATATGATGCGTGCCCTTGAAGCTGATTTTAAGAAAGTTGTTGGGATAAGGTCAGTTATGATAAAGATGCTAACTGCAGTTTTCTCAGTTCCTCAATCAATGGTTGAATATATTAAGAAAGTTGTTCCTCACTTAATGTATTCTTAGACTCATAAGCATTTATGTCATTGCTACCTTTGGGGAAAAATGATGGTTTGCCATCAATGCCATGTTTCTGTCCATCAAGAAACAGTTTTTTATATAATAAATTTTCACAGTGCTATCAGTTTCTTGCTTAATTCCTTTCATGAATCACTTAATTGCAGTTGGTACCTTTGGGCATTTGTTGTCATTTTCCTGTTGCTGAATTTCGTTGGTAAGTTACTGATGTTGTCAACTTTCAGAGTTTTTCTATTTAGCTTAACAGAAGATAATGGATTCTACGGCATACTCATCCACTAGAATTTTTGTGCGCCAAGTCTTTAACTGTGTTCCTGTTATAAATTCAGAAAAATTATAGTTCAAAAGCTAAAAATACTGCAACAAAGAAATATCAAATACTGCTAAAACGTCAGCGATCTTGAGGTCTTAGATACATGCATTTGCCACTCCTTGAGATATGAACTCTGATGTTACTTGATTCAAGTCTGAAAATAATTCATTCCTGATAGTGGACCAGCTAGTGAAGATCGTTAATTTTTTCTCAAAATCAAAATTCAATTCTTTCATGCAGGTTGGCATACGTATTTTTGGATAGCATTCATTCCCTTCATTGTAAGTGATTCAAATAAACACTAGATTTATTATATGTCATACATATTTTTTTAAGTAGTTATGTTTTAGTTCTTTTCCTTCTTTGCATATGGTTATTAACTACCTACATATTCAATCAGAGAGGCAGCCGACAGCAAACCAAGAAAGTATTTAGCATTTGACAATGGTTTTCCTTTTGGCAGCTTTTACTTGCTGTTGGCACCAAGTTGGAGCATATAATCACACAATTGGCCCAAGAGGTAGCTGAGAGACATATAGTGGTCAAAGGGGAATTGGTAGTTCAACCTTCAGATAACCATTTCTGGTTCAATAGGCCCCGGCTCATTCTCCGCCTTATTCACATTATCCTATTCCAAAATTCCTTTGAAATGGCATTTTTCGCCTGGATATGGGTAAAAGAATCTTGTCCTAAGTAACATTATCAAATGTCATTTTCCATTATATTCAATAAAGAATGGTGCTAAACATGACCCTAACATATTCATGTGTTCCTCACAACCTGGAAAGATGTCTCAAACCATTAGGGACATGAATTCAATCCTCCCCTTACTACCATTTGATCATTTTGATTCTTCCATTTATAACAGGTGCAGTACGGTTTCAACTCATGCTTGATGGGGCAAGTTCGTTTTATTATCCCCAGACTAGTTATAGGGTATATATGAAGAGAACAAACTTTCTTTTCTGTCTTGCCATATTCAAGTATTTATGTAATCATATTTGGTCATTATTAGGGTGTTTGTTCAGTTCGTCTGCAGTTATAGTACCCTGCCGCTATATGCATTTGTCACACAGGTAAAATGAACTATAAACAAAATTGAATCTATCTTCTTTTCTGTTTTCTGTTTTACTGTCTGGAGTAATAAAAAGATTTGCTTTGTAGATGGGAAGTTCGTACAAGAAGGCCATTTTCGAAGAACATATTCGCGAAGGGCTGGTTGGTTGGGCTCGGAAGGCAAAAAAGAACAAAAAGGGCAATGCTTTAAAAAGGACCGCCAATGGCTCCAGCCAAGTTGGTCCGAAAGAGGAGTCTCCTCTGGTATTTGAGATGGCGGAGATAGATGAAAAGGAGTCTGTAGTATGACTATAGAACTATACAGATTGAATCAGAACTCTAATATAGAGAATTGACATCTTGAGATTAGAGGTGGCAATATAACATCTATTGCAAGTGTCTAGCCTTCTAGTTTTGGTGCTGGGCTATATAATGTTTTTTGGCTTAAGTATTTGGAAATTGCTACTTCAGTAACCAGCTGCTTTGTAGTTATTCTTTTTCTGCCAATCGGCTTAGATGCAACCTCTTCTTTCATCTGCTAAGCTGCAGCCATTGAGGATAAAGTCAAAATATCATATTGCTGACACAGCATCATACTCCATAGTTCAATAATAACTAACAATTTGTGTTCATTAATGCAGCTATCCGTTTATGTTCATCTGATTTTCTTCTTCCAGAAAGAGAACATTCTTTTGGGTGTTGAATTGCTTTAACAATCCTTCAGTCAAACATATAAAAAATTCAGAACCAAGTGTGAGGGAATATGAGCAAATTGATAATATGTTCGTGATTGAGGACAAAATCATCGGTCTTTTGATTTGACAGGAACTCCTTTGTACATTTCTACACGATCCTTCAATGCGTCTCGCCTGGGGCGTGCTGCCTTATTATTAGGATAAAAAAGTACCACTTCTTCAAATGCTTTGAGTGCAGATTTATACTCTTTTTTCTTCTCATATGCATCACCAAGGTTGTTCCAGGCTGTGACATAGCCTGGTTGAATCTTCACAGCAGTTTCAAACTGATTGATTCCTTTCTCCAGCTTCCCATCGCGGACATAACATACACCAAGGGCATTGTAAACCTGGCATTGATTAGAAAAATAGAACACGATAATTTCATGTTTAGGAAGTTCCCAATCAAAATAACCCAAAAAAGTACTGTGCTTATGTGTATTCTTTGCTTTCGCCTCCTCTACTACATACATAACCTTCCTATAGAACTCATCCTTGAAAGGAGCCAAACCAACAATAGATGCCAAACATGGTTACCATGTGTTAACATAATAATTAGACTAAGATTTTTTAAGATTGCTACTTATCATCAATGCACAAAAAAAGACTGACGAATGAATAATTGGACAGACAAACATCAAGAGTATAAAAAGTGAAAATTCAACAGACCAAAAGTAACCAATGCTAAGCTAGCATTTTTATCTGTCTAGTTGAGAGTCAAGATCCATGATTTAATCCGCTTTCCTACCTTGGCCTCATCTTTACCAAAAAACAAGGGCCAGACTTAGGATCCCACATTGATAATGCAGTTTCAAGATTCTTCATTTAACTTCTTTGGTTTTGTAAATAAGATTCATATTGATTTATGATCATCACAACCAAGAAAGTAGTTCAATATTAGTAACAAAAGGTCCAAAATAAACGAGGCACTTTAATTAGCAAACACCATTTCTGTTAGGGAAAACAATTCAAATTTGCGAATTTTGCTCCTAGTGACAGTTGGGTCAATTTTTCAGGGACATGTACAAAAAGCTTCAGTTTGGTAGAAAAATAGCCAATGATCAGTTTGTTTCTTAAATAGTTCATACCATGTAATTTTAGAATTAGACAAGTTCACATCACATCCTGTTAGATTCAGGTTTCTCATAGTAATTTTCTGTCAAGTTAGAGTCTTAGTCATGCCAACTGAAATCATCATATTTTTGTAAAATTTGCTAATGACTGATGTGACCTAATTCAAGTGGTTGTGCATCAATAGCAAAAGAGGCCAAAATCAAGAATGTGTCTAAGCAACAAAGCGTACGATGGTTCAGACTTAAAGAAGGGTATGGGTCTATGTACTGCAAGAACAGGATAGCTAATGCTGAGCCCTTATGATTAAAGTTTAAGTTGGCATCAAAGTTAGTAGTGTTGGCTAGAATTTTCTTCCTTTTCCTTTTTCAAATGAAAAACTAGATCTATATGGAACATTTTTTAACCTTAAAATTCCAGACAGATTAGATACACAGATAATGCTGCTATTCCGCAACAATTTGAGTTCAGATTGTGAACAAGAATGATAAGCAGTAAGGGGAAATTTTATATATGATCTGGGTGGCTAAAGGCTGTAATTTTCAGGTTCTATAAGAAAGTTAGAACCAAAAAGAAGATAAAGTGCACTGCTTACGGCATGATTTATGACTCAAAAGAAAAGGGATACATCAGTGATAGATGATGATTTCATGTTAATGGCAGAAAATGTTTCAAGGGAATTCATCCAAACGAATCACCCATCATACTACTTATCACTGCTCTCTTATCAAACTAGAATGTGAGTGGTTAAAAGCAATGATGTTCATATAAAAATGGCAGACTCAATTGATTGTAACAGCAAGGCAAGACATGCTTAACACAAAGTACAATTTACAGAATAAAACCAATTGCTTCTGCTCCTACGATGTGGAAGATCCAAAAGATACCATACCTGGGCAATATCTTGATCATCTCCATCCCATTTCTCAATTGCCTGAAGCAAATATCTAGTAGCAGCTGGGTAAATTTTCCTTCTCAACATAACAGCACCTAGCTCAAAAAGCTCAGTTGCACTGGCATCTCCACTTCTTACTTGCTCCTAAGTTAAAATAACCATAGTAAATAAAAATGTAGGCACAAAGGAGCAGTCACCATTCACTGTAAAGCTAAGAACAAAGAGTCCAAATTCCTTTATTTTCCTTTTAGTTTTGTAACAGTAACTTGAATAAGTCTTCATTAGAAGTTTAGAAATGTCAAACTTAAATAATCATAATTTTCAGAGCATTTTAAATTAGCACTCTTTTTCACAGGAGAACAGACTCTTACCTGCAACTCTTTGGCAGAAAGGTCAAGCTCTCTACGTACAAGGACTTGACGGATCACAAAGAAGGTTCCAGCCCCAAGTAAGCCTAGTAGTAAAAGCAGATAAGATAGCTGGATTCCTAACTCAAATAACTCTCCAATCTCCAATCTCAGATAAGATAGCAGATAAGTAGTAATTTCACTTGCATTTGCTAGTTGTGCAGAAATTAACCACAAGGCTTGACCAAAGAGGAAAGAAAACAGCACAACTAATGGCTTCTTAACATTTAAGTCCTCAAGTATAGCCAGAAGGTTCTTCAAGGATTCTGCAACAAAACAAAGACATCAATCATCTAAATTCAAGTAATTATGGTGGATATTAGTAGAAAGAATGTATTACAAAAAATTAAGAAAAAAATGATGTCTCTCGGACTTGAATTGAGTCCCTTTTTGGCCAGAGAATCAGACAAACAGAATAGTTATGAAATATAGCCATTAAAATACACTTAGTAAATAACACAGGTATATCATGCACCAAAAAATTAGTTTGTGCAACCAAATACCACTTAAGTTTACAAGTCTCACAAATTTTACACCCTATAAAAGGAAGCATCAATCATTGCAGTAAAGTCAATTGTCTGCAAAAATGTTACACATTCCAACTTGCCCAAATTCCATGTCCACCAGTCTAGAGGCTAGTTATTATATTCTTTGGCCTTCAAGTTATGCATAAAGGATCTTGGTGTCAAAAAATGCCAAAAGTATCCTAAGGGTAAAATAGCTTAGAACTTTCAGGGCTTGTTAAACTATTTTGAAACGATATAGTCTTGTAAATATATTCGTCTATGCTATTCAGGAAGTTTGAGCTTTTTGAATGCTAGCCAATTACTAATTGTGTTGTGAGCATCAGAGAAAGCTGCTTATCATGCTTTGAAAATATAGCAGCCGAAAGAGAGTAAGATTACAAATCTACAAGTGCATGACTAAACTCAAAGTTGAGACTGTTTTACCATCACATCTTGGACATTAAGTTATTTAACCCCCAACTCAACCACACTCCATAAGAATGACATGCGAGGCTTTCTGCCCTTTTGGCGTATTACTATTAATAAGGAATATTGATTAGTATAATATTAAGAGAAATTAAGATGATCCATCAAATAACCACACAGAATGGCTGCCTTAAAAATAATGTTTAATGAGGAAAAAAGGTATCAAGAGTACAAACTTTCAATATTTTATGCTGCATTTTCCCACTGCATGCCATATAAGTTCTTCACGTGCTTATGATAAGCATTTAAACAACCTTGATGATTAAAAAGAGCAACAAAGAGAAAGGAAATTACCATCAAAGTGAGTTGAGGTAAAAGTTTTGTTGCCAGTACTCCCTTTTGAAACATCTGCCTTTATCCACAGTCAATTCAAAAATGGAAAAAAAAAAAAGTAGTAAGAAAGCATGTTAGGGTTAGTAAAGCATATATATGTACCTCTATTCACTAAAATAAACCCTGATTAAAAATTTAAACATAAACTTTTCTTATACAACATTGTGATCATTAAGTAAGTTTTTATCAAAAGAAATCCAGCTAGAAACATATAACAGCATTCCCAGGAAATGTCACATAAGGCATGGAAGAAAACTGAAGACAAGAAATTGCCAAGCCACATAGAAATTACACACCCTTTTATGAGTTTATGCAAAAGCACAGTTTAGACCAAACTTTTTAAATGACAACTATATGCAATCATTTAAGTTTGTTTCCTAAGTTCCTAGTATATCTGATAATACATACAAGCATTAATAGCACTAATTCCAATATTATCAGATGAAGGGCTGAAAATTTCAGAGCACACTTCTTTCTCTACTCAGAAACACTCTAATAGCATAGATGATTCGGTGGTTAAAGCCTTTTCCCTTTTATTCTTTTTTTTTAGTAGACACTTCCATTCTATAGACTTCTCTTGAACACAGTTACCATGCACCCCCACCTCTCCACCAACACTCCATGTTGGCTGAAGCTATTTGCCATTCAAAAGAATGGCTTCTTTGTTTAAGAGAACATGAACTTTTAATCTTTTGCTCAAACTTTGATCTCAAGGCAAAAGATAAAGATAGCTTCACTTTTTGAAACTTCATGTCCAAAATTAGATCCTAAATTGTTTAAGTTTAACCCTTAATTGACCCATAAAGTAGCAGAAACTAAAGCTAATAGTTAATGATGATCAAATCCAAACTTTTAATGATGTTGACAAAAACTTGAACATCCCTTTTACAATTAAAATAGGGATAATGATATGAACACTCATCATTCCTGCTCACTAGCCTTACTCATCCCAACATAGCTGTCCATCAGTTGTGAGGTCCACTTGATATATGGCTATCAGTGATCATATCACGTTCCTTCACATTGCTAACATGTTTTACAATTGAGCTATCCAAGATTGAGTAAAATAAAAAGAACAGTCTGGCTAATTATAATTTGAATTTGAAGGAAATAAGGTGTTTTGTGGAGGAAGTTTTAATTTTTCCAAGAATTCTGGGTTTGCTATTGTTTAAAAGAAAATAGGTGTATCTGTATTTTTGTACGTTTTTGTTTCTGCTGATATGGCAATTCGTGTATCTGTGTCATGTCTATTTCGTGTTAAACATAAGCAAAATACACAGTTTGTGTCAACACACCAATCACAAAACACATTTTTTGGTTTTGCCAAGCATATATGGTTTTTGTCAAAATTTTAAACCGTATCACTTTCACCTTTTTTTTTTTCGTATCCTTTTCATGTTGTGTCTAACATTAACAGGTTTATATATATACACACACACACACATAAATAACAAGTATGTGGCTATGTGGGCATTTTTTGTAGTAACTCCAAATATAAAGATGCCAAGTCAGCAAGTAGTTAGCTAATTAACTAATTTTTAATGAGATTAACTTATATTAGGATCATCATAAAAAGTGAGTTTTTAGGCACCAATGAATAATGCTAACTTATGTTTTTTAAAAGACATGTAATTATTGTGAGATTAACTTATACTACGATCATCCTAAAATGTGAATTTTTAGGCACCAAAAAAATAATACCACCTCATGTTTTTTAAAGACATGTAATTATTATTATATACTCATTCTCGCCTAATTAACTTTCCAACTTGATTTAACTCAGGTTAATTTATGTGAAAATCAATAATTAATAAAAAGGTAAAAATGAATTTTAAACATGGTTTAGGGTGATGAAAACACAAGACTCCTAAAATTGGCCTAGGGTATAACATCAAACTCTTAAAATTGTTTCCATCAAGTGCTCAACCAAAATTTTCTTTGAATACTTCTTTGGGTGGTAGAATCCATCTATGTTGACCTTCACTCATTTGGGCAGCATGCTTCGCTTGAGCTTGGCTATATTCCTTGGCTATATTCCTTCAAGTAATTTCCAGCAAACTGTGCAGTAATGTAGTTCTTTCTGGTCTCATCATGTTTCTGACCATTCTGGCTTCCCCACATAGCCCAAGCAGCAATTAGAAAGAGATTAATCTTTTGTTACTTTGGCAATAGGATAATATGATGCAACCACTCTGAAACATTAGTAAAACATCATTCATTTGGTCCCTAATCAAAACCAAGTTGTCTCCTAACCAATTACATAGTTGACAATTGCAGTGTGCAACAATCACTATGGTTTGCAGATGCCATGATGGGTCCCCCCTTGCATGACATGATTGTGAAATTTGAAAGATGTTTTCGGTCAAGATAGTTTGTGATTTTGTTAATGGCTTTGTTGGGGATTTTTCAGATTAATTATTTGCTAGAGGGCAATGGTTCTTTTTTAATTTTTGAGTTGTATATATTTTCATTCTTAACCAAAGTTAAAGATGAGTTAATTGATTTAATGAGAGTTAATTTGATGAGGATGAGAATAAGATAATTATTGCATTCTTTTAAAAAACATCAGGTGGCATTGTTTTGGTGGTGCCTAAAAAATTCCTTTTTTAGGATCATCCTAATAAAAGTTAATCTTTCAGTGAATCAGTTGCATAAACACGGTAGGGATGAAGAAGATGGGAAGTAGGAAACAGAGTTAGGTATGTAGAATGAATAAATAAACAAAGAACAGTATAATAAAATGGAAAAATTTTCTGCAATCAATGCCTCAATTTTTCTTCATAAAAACAAGGATTTTTTTTCTTAAATCCACTGAAGCACAGAGAGTACCAGAACACATACCTGTAGATTGAGAAATGTAGTGTCATTCACTCCATTGCCTGTCCATGAGCTTTTTAAGGCTGTTTCACCATAGCACTTAACAATGGCCTGGACCATTAAGAAGCATTAACCAATGTTCTTTATAAGCTAAAAGAAACAAGTAAATCTAGCTTTTCGACCCACCAAAATTTATAAGTTGTCCCTCTCTTAACACAATTCTGTAACTAATATCGCAAATTTCACAACTTTGTGAATCCTCTGCTACTCTTTTATGTACACACTATTATCATTTATCACCTCATTTTTAATTAAAAATATAATTTTTCCAATTGATGCAATCAAACATGAATATTAAGCAGATACTGTCATATTTATCATGCAAGGTAACTTTGTAGCTAACCTTTCTTTTTAAGTTTTTCCCTTTTACCTTCTTTTATCTAATATTACTCTTTTAGTTTTTTAAAAATATGAAATTATTTTATAAAAAAATATTTATTAGACTTTACGTTTTTCCGTTTTATGATGCACTATGAATTATAAAAAACATATGTTACAAATACTCAAACGTTAAAAAAAAAAAAAAACTCTTTTTCTTTCCATAAGAAAAAAATTGAAAATTTTATGGCTTCACCCTCGGATTCAAGGTTTTGATTTCAACAAAAATGTTAAGGATGCGCAAGCAAGGAATAACTAATTCAAGAGAGCAGAAAACCAACAATTGATTCAATAAGAATTGGCATAATTTTTCAGTAGGGAACAGAAAGAGAATGTTACAGATTACTGCCAATTGCACGTAAGAACCAATTTTAGTTGAGAGAAAATTACAAAGGAGACATTCATTGTCTTCCATTTGTGTTGAGAAACCAGACAAAAATCAGTTACCTTCTTGCTCCATTTAGTCCAACCATCATTTCAACATCTAAAAATGGGTATATTTGCATATGTATTTTCATGGATTCCCAACAATTTTTATCAGTGTATTGGTTAAAAAAGCCTTCCTCCAGTTATGGTTCCAAGAAGTTCGGCTGAGCACAGTCCTCTCTTTGCAATAATATACCCCATCTTTGCAATATTGTAAGTGTTGAATATATGCCAATGATTTCAAGAAATTTTTTAAGAAGTTGAGAAGATCAAAGTAGAAAATTTGCTATATGAAGAATTATAACAATAATAGTTATAAGAAAGAGTAAAGGGTAGTTTTAAAACCCGAAAAGAGAGCTTCTTTTGGCTGAATCGGAGAGACCCAGATGTGAGGAAAGAGCAAGAATGAGGAAGCTGGGTTGCTGAGACGCAGACCTTTTGGTGGTGTAAAGATGGAGATGAGATTCTAGTTTGGAGAATCATTTTGTTTTTCGTCTCCAAAGTTCAAACATTAAAAAACATCTATTTGTTTCCAGTGATTTTTTGTGGGGTTTTTTTTTTTTCCGGCTCAACTAGGAAGATACTGACTCACTCTAAAATACACTTAGCAGCAGAGTTCGTTAGCAGTTGAAGATAGAAGTTTACCCGACTCTTCCAGGACAAGATTTAAAAAAAAAAAAAAATCAAAAGATAAGGCCGCGTTTGGTTTTCATCTAGGTTTTCATTTTTTACCTCTTTTTTTTTTTTTAATAATTATAGAATTAAATTTTTTTTCTTTTTTTTAATAAGTTGATCCTCTAATTAATTTTTAAAGAATTTTTGTTTAAAATTAAAATTTTAATTATTGAAATTAAAAATTTAGTTTTCATCCCTTAACTTTTGACATCAAAGACAATATTGATTTTCTTAAGTAAATTTTTTAAAAATATTTGTAAAAATTAATATTTGAAATAATATCTTTATTCAAACATTGAATATCATTACATTTTATCAGCAAGTATTACATTTATTACAAGAAAAGTTTTTAATAAGTATACCTAAAGCTGCTTATGGGTCAAGTTGGATCGAATTAGGTTTGGACTGGGTTTAATATAATATTCTAGAATTTTAAGCAAGTCCAAGATTGGTCCAAACTATCTCATTTTTTTTACTTCATTTTTTGTCCAAATTAATTCTTACATGTAATAATAAAATGTAAGCCTACCCAAAGCACTAGTATTTAAATTTGAGAAAAATATTTTTTTTATTTTTTGTAAATTATTAATTTAACTAATTTAATTAATTTTAATTAAATTTATGAGTCATTTAAGCTTAAATCCAATTTAATTTTGTTGAATGTAAATTAAAATTAAATCATTATTTTAATCTTTTATGCAAAGAAAAGTTTTGGCTTTATCCTATTATAAGTAATAAAGCAATTAAGTCTTGCCCATTTCAAAAAAGTAAAGCAAATGACTTTATCTCATTATAATAAAAATATTTTTTTAATTTTTAGGTCGAACCTTAAATGGCAAAACCCAAGACTAGACTTATTTTTTTATCGAGTCTCATTTATTTGTTCAAACTCTTTTAGTGGGCTTAATATTCATGTTTAAACCCTTTAAAATTTTAGGTGGGCTTTTGGGCTTTTAGGTTCGGACATGAGCAAGTCTAAGTGTACTCAATACTAAAAAATTTTCTAAAATAATGATTTAACAAGTATACTTATTATTACGCAATAAAATCCATTTTCTCTAATCTTTTATTTTGCTTCAAATTATGTTACAAAATTATTGTTTTCCTTTTTCTTCTTTTTCTTATTGTTAACATTTTCACTTGGAAATTGGAATTTGAAATATATAGTGTTTTTTTTTTCTTAAGTAACCATTGCATTTGACATGAAATTGTCTATCTTTTTATTATAGGCTAATTCAAATGAGATAGTAAAATATTTCTAAAAAAAAAAATAAAAGGAGTTTCTCTAAACATTTAAAAAATTTTCACTAAACAACTTTTTCATCAATAAAATTAATATATCTATCACCAATTATATATATATATATATGTTAGATTATATAATAAATTTTTGTACTTTAGTTAAATGGTGGAATTAGTCCATTTATCTTAATGTCTTCAAATTTAATTTCTATTCTTCATTTAATTGTTGAAATTAGTCAAATTGTTAACGATTTAAATATTTTCCATTAAAATTCATGACCTGATATTTTAACTTTTTTGATGTGACATTTTTACATAGTGATGTATAAAGTCCACAAGGTAAAAAATGATGACATGTCATCATTTTTTCACACTAACTTTTTTTAAATTATACGACTCATTCCTATATTTTGATTAAATGGTGAAATTAGCCTTTTTATCTTAATGTGTGTCCAAATTTGATCTCTATATATCAATTAGCTATTGAATTTAAGATTTGACCTAAAATAAATAAAATAAAACTAAAATAAAAGATAAAAAAAATTTTCAATGCAAATAGATCGAATCATAATAGAGTCAATGCATAGGTTAACATGTGAGTTGCACCAAACTTGTTTTTTAAAACAACGTTGTTTTAACTTATTATAAAAACAAAAAATCATTTTTTTAAAAATTTCCTTCCTTTTCTCCTCTCTCATCCTCATTTTCTTTTTGCTTCTCTCGACAAGTTTTCATATGATGAATTAATGTTTTAATGGGATTTCTAAAAATCAATGATTGAAAAATTCAACGATTGTAAAAAAAATTTATTCAAAAAATCCAAAAACCATCATTACCCAAAAATCAATCATTGACACCATTGTTTTATATTATTATGTAAAACAAAACTAAGTATAATATTCTAAAAATTATAAACCTAAAATCTTTAAAAAAGAATCTCCAAACAAAAAATTATTTCTAATTATTTTTGTTGGTTGTCTTTATATTTATTGTGTTATTTTGTCAATTACTGTTGAATTCTCAAAATTTTTTTAAAACAATCTTTTCAAAAAATTTTCATATTTTCCTTATTTTTAAATTTTTTATTTTTTTTCAAACTTTGACTTCTTGACTTTCACCAATTAAATAATTAAAATAAATAAATAAAATAATAAATAAAACACTTTTGGGCATTTAAATTTGGGTTTAAAATCAAATTTCAAAATTAAAGCTTAATTGATCCAAAAATGATTTTAAAACTTAATGTCAAGACAAAATTCAAAGCTCATTTAATATTGAAAAAATTTTCAAAAGAAAATAAAATGTCTACAATTGCTTTTATTATGGATTGTGTATTTGAGTTTGTTGATTATGGGTTTTGAATCTAACTTTTATGTTTCTATCATTTTAAGAGTTTCTTTTTATTTTTTATCTATTTTTTTATTTCTTATATTTCAAATATATTAAAAATAAAAATTAACAAAAAATGGAAAAAATCAAAATCAAAACAAATAAATAAAAAGAAAGATAAAGAAAAGACATAATTTAATTTATTTTGAGCTTATAATCTAATTTGAGATTAACGTAATTTATCAAATTAAGTTCAATTAATAATTTAAATATTCAAAAAAATTTATCTAAATATGAAAAAAAATGTCACGGTCAAATAAATAATTTATATTTTTTATATGTTATTTTAAGTTAAATCTTAAATTTGATAATTAATTGATATATAGGGATCAAACTTAAACACATATTAAAGTAAAAGGGACTAACTACACAATTTAATTATAGGTATAAGCCATACAATTTGAGAAAAGTTGACATGAAAAAATGATGACGTGTCATAAAATTTTATCACATCATCATTTTTTATCACGTAAACTTTACATGCTAGCAAAATTAATGGCCACGTATGCAAAAGTGAAACATAAAAAAAGTTAAAATATTACGTCACCAAATTTAATGGAAAAAATTTAAATTATTAATAAATTGACTAAATTCGATAATTAAATGAATTAGAAGAATCCAATTTGAACACATTAAAATAAAAGGACTAATTCTACCATTGAATTAAAGTATAAAGACCTATTATATAATTTGACTATATATATATATATATTATAAATAGACATATTCTAAAAGATTATGAATCTTTCGTAGCTTATTATACCATAGAAATAAAATATTTCCAAAAAAGTGATATTTAAACAAATGTTTTTGGTACACAGTTCAGTATTCAATAAGAAAAACATAAGAAAAAGTTTTGATTTGTAGAAAACAAGGCATTTAGACCATTTGCACAACAATAGCCTGGTTGAATCAGGCTCGCAAACGGGAAGAGACAGGGAGACAACTTTATTGCTACGGCCATGAATACTCGTTGCCAACACAGGTTTGATAAATGGTAGAAAGAAACTACTTGCAACATGTTATGGTTTTAGTTTAGTATTTACTATTATGATTTTAAAAAAGTATGATTAAAAAAATCATATAAGAATTTTAATATTTAGTATTATCATGAAAAAGTATTGTTAGTGTATTAAAATATAAAAAAGTAAAAAAAAATAAAAATTGAAAATTATAAGGGGAAAATAATTTAAAGTTACAATAAAAAAAAAAAACTTAGCAACATACTAAGGTCTAATTAATTTAATATTGCTATTGCGGTTTAAAAAAAACATTGATTTGAAAAATGTTAGACTTGATAATTTCAGATATGATAAAATGATACATTATGAAAGTGACATGGAAAAATCATTTGTGTTTTAAAAAAAAAACATGTTTTGTATTTATTCGTATTGATACGAATTTCGACACAACACAATTTATCTCATACGTGTTAATATGTCTAAATACTTGACATAATTTAATTTTGTAATACAAATACACATTTAACATGTTTAATAAGTTTAACATGTTTAAGATGTTTAACATATTTTTTATATTTATTTTAATTTAATATAAACATATAAAAATTATTTTAATTTTTAATCTTTTAATTATGATACTTAATTAGCTCTTTAATATCATATAAAAATTATTCTAAACATTTAATTATAATACTCATTTAATAATTATTATAAATTTATTATTTTATATTAATAATATAAATACAATATAAATATTAATATTAGTCTTATATATTATTATTTTATTTTTTAATCTTTAATAGTTTATCATTTTGAATTTGATACTAAAAATTAATATAATTATGTAATATATATTAAAATTTAAATATATATTCAATACATATTAAATGTGTATTAACTTTTTTTTTATTTTTTATACGTTTTTATATTATTAATATGTCAAGTTTAGTAAATTATAAATAACATATAATTGTTATTTATTATTTTAGTCGAATTTTTGTATGTATTCATGTCAGTCATGTCTATTTATTTTATTTGTCTCATGTTTAAATAGATTAATTATACACGGATTAATCTTGTCGTGTCATATGTAATATGTATAATAAACATATCGTATTTGTATTTAGGATTTAAATACATTTTATAATCCGTGTTATATTCATGTTTTAATAATTTGTGTAATTACATGTACCAAATACGACATGAGATATGATGCGAAAACACGAATTGTCAGATCTAAAAAATGTATAGCTAGAAAAATGTGATTTAAGAATTTTAAGTATTTATTATTATTATTATGAAAAAGTCCTATCTATTAGTGTATTGAAATGTAAAAGGAAAAATGATAAAACAATAAAACTTTAAAATTATAAATATAAAAATAATGATTTTACTTTCTAAAAATGTTTTTGAATTGCAAACACGCCTTAAAGAGTTTTTCCATTCGGTTTGCAAAATCAACTTTTTATCGTAAATCTCAAAATTTTCACCTTGTTTAACATTGAAAACGAACTTTTTAGCTAAAAGCATTTTTTGATCTCAAAATGCATTTGATTCGAGAGAATCATTTTCAATTATGCTAAACTGTCCAACACCTTGACAATGTCGCAAAATGCATATCAGCATTTTTCTGGTCTCGATCTATTTCTATGTAATGCTATGTACTGGAAGGGATAATGGCAGATTTAAGAATTAAATTTATAATGACCAATCTCAAAACTGCTACATGTTTTCAATTTTGGATGACTAAAATTGAATCTCGTGCAATCTTAATTCAGTCACTGCAGTAGTTATCCTTTGTTTCATGTGTCTCTTTAAACCAACGATTCTTCTTGAAGATGAACATCAATGTCCCTGTATAATAAATAGGGTGAATAATGGAAATCGAAAACCACAGATAATTCAAGAACAACAAAACCGTAAGGAGACTCTGAACACCAGCGATGGTGCTCAATAGGGAGAAAACAAATTACCTCCCCTTTTTGATGGCCTCATGGGCATACTGTACACCAACAATTCTCAGTGCTGCTGCTGCTGCATTTAGTAAGTTTTCCAGTGAGCCACGCTTTTTTTAAATGCTTTAAGGCAGTTTTCCTACCAAATCCAGGAACCAAATGTTGAATCCTAGGAAAAGCATCAATTTCATCACCCATGATGTATCCTACAAGATTACTTAATGATTACTTAAGCACATCATCCCAAAAATGGTCTACAAGGCCACGGAAAATGAGGACAAGCAATGCTAAGGAGCATTCATTTACCAAAAACCAAAAATTAAGCATTTTTATTCGTACAATAGTGGTTACCGGAATGTTGTTTTCTTTATTGGAATAGCGACTGCATTGTGTTCATATGAGGAACCAAATTTTGTAAAAATCTATAATCTAGAAGAAAAAAGAACCAGCTTCTTTCAGCTCTTACATTATACCAAACAAGGCTGCATCCTTTCAGGAGACACGAAAGGAGCTCTTTAAGAACTCGGAAGCTTCATTGAAACGGCTTACTAGCAATAACTCTCAGTTATACCTCTACAATAGATATTCTCTTAATAACTGACCCTTACAAAGAGAAAAAAAAAAAGGCATATGGGTTTCTACGGAGCATTCATCATATGGGCATCAAGCTGTTTCAAAAAGAAGAAGAAGAAGAAGAAGAAGAAGAAGAAGAAGAAGAAGAAAAAAAGGTTTATAAAACCTTACAAAGAAAAGGCATTGCAATCAACTGCCTAAAATCCTTATCCGGGGAATCAATAACCACATGATATCCTCTTTATATAACTTGTTCCACCAGTGTGGCCGGCCACAATTTCATCAGCTTCATTTGCTTCGATTTTTATTACCCGCATGATTTAGGTTCTCATTGATCAAACTGATAAAACAAAAAAGATAGATCCACCAACAATTTAGTATCAATGATCCATCTGCACAATGGTTTCAGGAAAACTATGAGTTTAGGATTATGATGGCATGTTGGATTGAAGTCGTAGGATGCAACTTTCTTGCCAACAAATAGGTATAATTTTCTTGTAAAAAAAGATCTATTTGGAATCTCAAAAATTATTTGAATAAGCTACTTACTAATATCTTTGGCCATCTAGTAAATGAAAGGATTCTTCCTTATTGTCCTGATTAATGGTACCGTAAAGACAACAAAATATTTTTATTTTTCATATAAACTCTCTCTATTCAGGAAAAAAAAAAAAATGCACCTATGTGATTAGTATAATAAAGCCAGAAATCTTATTTAGTGAGAGCTTAATTTAAATATATTAATTTATAAAACATAATAACATAATAGTATTAAAAAAATGTTAAAATTTTCATATCCAATCATAATTATTAAAAGTTTTATAATTATCTTTGACGCGAATTTATATTTTAAAAAATATTATCCAATAATTTTGTTATTAATTCTTTTAAACACATCTTTTATAATGTACATAATTAAACAATCATTCAATTATTAATTTTTTCAATTATACAATAAATTTTCAAAATGTTTATTGCTGAAAATATTTTTTCTACTATAACATTGAAAACTAACAAAATCAAATATTAGTCTCAACAATAAATAAATTATATTAATAAAATTTTTTACACTTTATCTAAAACACATTAAATTTAAGATTTTTTTTTTGGTTTTGGTAAACCATAACCCCACTACAATCTTTGAAGGTGCCCGACCTAATCAACCTTGACCGAGGAATCACGGTAAGACAACCAAGCTATAAAGAGTTGGAAGCCTCCTCGATCTTAAAAGAAGAGGAGCATGCTATTACCCTAGTCATAATTCGATAAATGCCACAACTCAAAAATTCAAACAGACAAACCTTAAACCCCAACCAAACAAGGACTTGGAAGTTTGGATGTAGGCCATGGAGAAAGAGCTAAAAACAAAACTAGTGGCATTTGAGGATGAGCTTAAGTTCCTAGAAACCTAGCTTTTCACTAAAGAAATTGATAAAGCAATGCCTCTTAAGGGTTTCAAAATGCAGATATTGGAGACTTATGATAATACTTTTGACCTTTTCAATCATTTGAAACTTTATAGGAGTAACATGATGATGTAAGGTACAAAAAAAACCTTGATGTGCAAAGGCCTAGCTACCACCCTAAAGGCGTAGCTCAGTTGTGGTATAATAGCTTGGAAAAAAGGTTAATTACAACATTTAAAGAGCTCAGTTATTCTTTATTATCTTAATTTATAAGTAGTCGAAGAACGAAAAAGATAACTCTAAGTTTGATGTTTATCCATCAAGGTCATGGCGAATTATTGAAGAGCTATGTCAGCATTTTAACACGGCTTTGTAGATTAAAAACTTGGAATAAATGGTCGAGATAAGAGAGGCTTATCTCTTTTTCTTAATCATAAAAAAAGGTAATGATTTCTATAATCTTTCTCTAAGAGAGAGATAACATAGGGCTAGAAGCCCTGTGAAGAAAGGAACTACACTACACTAAATATCTCTTGAAAGAAGATTTTGAATCAAATTGAAAGAAATCCTAACCTCAAATGATCGAAGCCACTAAGATTGAACACAAGGAGAGACCCGACCAAAAAGATTTATCCTTTCACAAGGATATAGACTATAATACTAAAAATTGCATCGACTTGAAATATAATCTATAGATTCGGCTTACCTTGGTCAATAATAACGGATAATGAAAAATAAATTTAAAACTCGAGGTTTAAGAAATAGTGTTCAAACTTTTATATCGACCTGAGATTCATGTCGATCGCCTACTTTCAATCTAATGGATAGGTTGAAGCAATGAACTAGACAATATTAAAAGCCATGAAGAAGAGATTGAATGCAGCAAAGAGGAGATGGGTCGATGAGCTACCAAGGGTGCTATGACCCCTGAAAACAACTGTAAAGGTACCAACAAGTGAAACCCTATTTCATTTAGCATTTGGAATAAAGGATGTGGTACTTGTTGAGATCGACTTTCTAAGCTTAAGGGTCAAACTAGGATCAAAAGAAAGAAATGAAAAAAAGCTTAAGGCCAATCTAGAGCTCATCGAAGAATAGAGAGACATAGCTTTAACACAATAGTAGTTTATTAGTAAAAGGTGTCCAGTTATTATAATAAAAGGGTAAGCACATCAGAAAGGGTGACTTGATACTTAGAAAAGTTAAAACCTCAGGAATAAATGATCAAAGTGAAAAATTAGCCTTGACCTAGAAGGACTATATGTAGTTAAAGAGATTATCCATGATGTAACCTACAAACTGCAGGATATAAATGGTAACGTTATCCCAAGGATGTGAAATACAGATAATTTAAAGGTCTATTATTAATAGCTCGATCTAAACTGAGCTCATACTTGTAATTTGTACTTGAACATAGAAACCAAATTACGTTAAATGAGCCCATGCCTAACTGATGTAACAAAATATGATTTGGAACTTAAATAGATTCTCAAGTTAATTTAATTTGAATGATTAAATAAATCTTTAGTTAATTTAAGTAGGCTTAAACTTCTTGGTTAACCGTGCTTAAACTTGTATGAATAAAAAAAAATATAATAACAAAGATGAGTTAAAGCTTGGACTAAATTGAACAAAAGTTTCTATTTGATTTTCTATTAAGTACAAAAATTACAAATGTTTGTTAAGCATGTCATTTTAATTCAAAGTCATTACAAAAACTGACCTCATACATTAATAAAAAATTACAAAAATTAAAAATGAAAGAGTTAAAAATAAAAAGAATCATGTCTCAACAATATTAGCAGTAGCAACGGGAGCAGTATCCTCATCAGCAAGAGTAGCAGCAATGACCTTACCTTCTCTAACCTCTTTCACCTCATGTTCGGGCCCTAAAATTGCTTCGAGCTTAGCGTCCATGGCCTCATCATCCTTGTCTTCCTCTTTCTCTTTTTCTTCAAGCTGATTTAGAGGGGGTTTTGATCTAATATTGTTGATGTCAATATTAAAAAGAAAAAGGTTGAGGTGGAAAAACTTAAATTGCACCTTATTTTTGGCTAGGCTAAAGGCACAAAGTACATTTTTTTAGAGAACTCCACCTTTAGTTGGAGGAGTTCATTGAAAGCCTTTAACTTCTCGATAGCTTTCTTATTCAGATCTTTTCCATCTTTCTCTTTGGCCTTTAGCTTAGATCTTAACTTTGCTATCTCAGTTTGCTCTTTTATTAAATTAGTTAAGGTTTTATCAATTAGGATGACTTTTAACTTCGTTATCAGATCATCATTTCTTTTTTTCTACTCAACCTCTTTTTTATGAGACATGTTAAGGTTAGACCTGATATTACCTAATGCATTCGAGCTCTTCTTATGCTCCTCAATCAAGATAATTTTATCCTTTTCTACCTTGAGAATATGGGTCATACCGAGATAGGTATGGTAAAGGGTTGGCTAGTGTTGTCTAAGGGCTGAATGGAGAATTTTTGTTAGACTGCATTAAATAAACTTAGACTAAGCAAAATGAAGAACAATGATAAAACTGAGCTAAAATCAAGTAATACTGACTAAGGGAAAAGACTATGACCTTGCAGAACCTACCCACCACATCGAGGTTCTTGGTGGGGTCATTGGTGAGAACGTACTCCAAACTTGTAAAAATCTTCTTTGAGCTAGGCTTAACACACTTGTCTTGGGATTTTTTAAATGGAAGAGAAGAACTTCACCTATAGTGTTTTCATAATAAGAGGTGCTTGTGCCAGGAAAAGATCCTGACCAATACTAGCCTTCATCTTCTAAGCTGTTAAGAGTGTTGTATTGAAGGGTTGACAAACTTATCTTTCCACAAGATGGGGTCTTGAGCTAAATTTTCTTTTAACCTCTTTTGGGCTTGGAGGTGTGTTTGTACAAGATGAAGTCAAAGTCATCGTTAATGGACATTTTTGTAAAATCAACCTAATAGTTAGATAAAAATCAGGTCAAAATAAAATCCTACCGAGTTACTTTAAACCTACTATAATACTTCATCTTATTTATTACTTTAAGAGAGGTTAGCCTATAGGTATCAATAACGAGCTCCTCCTACGAGTGTACTATATTATTTTATCTCAATCTAATAAATTCAAGATGGAGAGACCATTGGTGCATCCATAAAAGTACCAGGCACACTTTTTATTTCCTAGACTTCAACTTCAGTAGTGATCTCAACCTCGAGTTAGCTATCTTTATT